ACGAAGAATTGAGGCAGTTCTGAAGGCAAAAGGGGGTCCAACCCGTTACTAGTGTGGTGTACCTAATAAAGTGGCCGGTGAGTGTATATATATATATATAAAGGTGAGTCATGCCAATTTATGTTTGTATCGAAGACGTAGCTCTTCGTGTTACTCGGTACTCCAAAAGTAGCTCTCAGTCTCAAAAAGTTTGGTGACCCCTGCTGTAGGATATCTCCCTCATACTATTTTCAAAACATGATGAATGAATTCATTAATCATCATCATTATTCTCCATGATGATGATTCTTTGTATTGTTGTTTAGGTTTTCAAAAATTTCATCAAATCCCTGGTCTGCAAAGCCAGCTCACCTTCTCCCATGTCACCTGTTACAGCTCTGTTGCTACCTTGTTTGGCAAGCCAAAAATTCACCAGTAGCGATCTGATTGACATTCAGATTTCTCACTGAGATGGCCAGAAGGCATCTTAATCCTGGCTTGATTTGTTATATGTGAGTGGATATTGTCATACTGCTTTATTGTCTTATCTATCTGAGTAAAAAAAGGGTTTTGTTAAAGATTATATGGCTACATCCATTGGCCTCTCAATGAAGTGAAAGCATTTTATACTCTTAGCAGAGAAACCCCCTCAAACCCACCTGTTTAACTTTCGGGATGGTGTTTGTTGGATCATTTCATTATCCATTATCTTTTACCTGCTCCTTCCTTTCAGGGTCACAGGGTCCATATCCAGCAGTCACTGTGCGGGGGCGGGGTACACCCTGGACAGGTTGCAAGTCCGTCATAGTTTTTGGGATCATACTTTTTATTTGTCTTCCTCCAAACATGGCAGGTCAAGTTGGTGACAACAAATGGGATTTTGCTTTTATCCGACTAGAGTAGTTTCACACAAACCATCTCTGATTCCTTTACAGTAGATGTTCCCTGTTCACAGTGTAGTGAAGTCTCAGTTTGCAGAAACCGGAGTTGCATCCATCACTGATGGGTCGTGCTGTGTGAAAACACTCAAACACAGCGAGGGGTGCTGCTTCCTGCTGTGATCATCCTCATTTAGCTTGTTTGATCTCTAATTTCACCATCTTGTGGCTCTAAATGACAAAACAGGAAATGTAAAGCGAGCAGTTGGATGAGTTTCTACAGGAAACTTTGCTGAACAATAAGAGTCAGAAAGAAGACTGATGAATTGATGAAACCAATTCTATTATTTTTGTTCTTGTTTATTTATTATTTTTGACCAAAAAAGTACAGCTTCGCCCCATGTTCCTTTTGCACCTGTAGTGCTGTTGTCAATGATTTCTGACTGAGCATCATAGAACATCACAAACGGAGAGGCTTTACAGGTTTAACCCCCCATTTTCTCTTTCTGTGCTTATTTTTATTTTATATTTGTTTTTTCTTACTTTGCATTAAGGTTTTTTCCATAACAGTGAAGCCATGGTCCATTAAGGTTTCTAACCGAACTAATAACAATACTTCTTTTGCACATTTTGGTCATAACACATGCGCACAGGAAGTTTTCACACATTCACCGGAAGTAAAGGGGATCATTCACTGTATGAGTTGATTTGTTTACATTTTTTTACAATGACAGCAATGGTGAAAAGTGACTTTTGTAGCATGTAAAATTGTTCGAGGCAACATGACCGAGTAAAATATAAAGGAGAAGCTTGCTCTTTTTACCTAATTCCTCTAGGAAAGTCGAGCAAAGCTGCTACAAGAAAAAAGCTGTTGCTCAATGCACTTCGCCATCACAACTTCACTCAGAGGAAAAACGGTAAAGTGTGTAATCAGCATTTTGTTTCTGGCATGGCAATTAATGATCCGTACTCTGTGCATTACGTTTCTACACCACATCTTGGATATTCAAAACAGACAAAAGAGAGAACGACCTCCCGCAACAAAAGAGGATGCTACTGGACAGATGAGAAGCTGGCCAGTGCAACAAATCAGAATGGATGCATGTACTGTATGTATGACAGCACAAATGCTATCGTCAGCAGTGCCACAAACACCAACAATCTGTGGCCATCTTTTGATGACAGTTTCTTCACAATGACATCCCCTCGGATCCGCGGCACACTTTGCACATTTTGTCCATTGGTTGTCCACAATTTTCTGAAACCACACATCAACATTACAACTCGCCATCATCACCTCGTTCCTTCAAATTACATTTCCTCTCAGTTCCGGTTTTTGCAGGAACGATAACTGCGGTGGCATTTCGCCATCTAATCAAAATGTTTCATTCGTGCTTCGTAATGTGCTAAAGGAGTATTGTGATGACAGTTTCCTCTTCTAAGCACTCTCATTCTATGGTGCACTATGTGTCAGGAATATTAGTTGTTTAAAATTATGTTTCCTTTAGGTTCCAGCTTTCAAAAAATATTTCTTGTTGAAACAATAAGGTCATGTTGGAAGTTAAGACGTGTCCATAGTCAGAGTGATACATTTGTCCAGAGCAGAAAGCCCCTCTAAATGCAAACAAAACACTGGGAAAAATGAATGAAACTCAATCTGTTTGATGTTTTTTTTTATTATTATTTATTTTGTTTCTGGGTTTTTCCAGGTGTTGCTGCCAACTGTGCATCGGCTTTAGCCCAGATGGCAGCTGCTTCCTGTGTGCAGGAGAAGGATGAGAAGGAGGCGGGAGAGATGGGAGACGCCATCACACAAGGTACTAAGAGCTCCAAGAAACAGACTGTGTTGATTGTATCAACTTTGCACAAAGTTTCATGGTTCAAAACTTGACAGATGAAAAAAGATGATTAGAAAATAGTTTCAACTCAAATTTTTTATTCACAAATAGTGTCTAATTCTGTTTAGAGAAGTTCAATTTTATTCAAAATGAAACTTTATTGACATCTAGTGGTGTGTTGGAAAAACTACCAAGACATCAAAAATCAACATCGTTGTTTGAATGTTCACATTGAGCTTTGCTAACATCTTTACAGCCTAGAAGCTCTTTAGTGTTGAAGCAGGGATGCTGTGTTCACAATTTAAATAATTACAATTATTTTGTTCAGTAGAAGCACATTTATATGTTGATTCAGCAACTCATCCATAAGTGTTAGCTGATCCTTGTTGGTCTCACAGGATTATAATCTAAACTGATGGATTCAAGTATTACATGTAGTTATTTAGAAGCCCAGCATATAAACAACTTTATAAAGTCAAGTTAGTTTTTTGATAGTAATAATTGATCAAGGAAAGAGTCAGGTGGTAATACTATGGGTAGATTTGTTTCAAAACAGTAAAAGTCAATTTTTTTTTGATTTATACATACAAACAGCATTTTCATAACAACTGAAGGTGACATAGTTACTTTATTATGGTAAAGAATTGAACTATATGCCTGAGAAGCACATAATATTGGCCCTTCAAAAACATTACACTGGAGTTCAGAATAAAAGCAGTCTTGTTGTCAATTAAATGAAGCTATTATTTTTGGAGCCAGATCATTTCAAGATGGCTGCCACAGTTAACTGATTTGCAAAAAAATCTGAAAACAGAATAGCTAATAATAATTCAGTCCTTTTTTTACACACATTTACCTATATTTTTATTTGGTGTGTTTATCGCTGAGCATCAAGACATGTTAGAAATGCTGATTGTGCAAAATCTTGGCGTTGAACTTTGTAAATTTATAGTTTGTCCTTTTAAAAAATATCTATATGCTTAATCAGACTTTCTGTCATGTCTAATTCACAAGAGTCAACACAAAAGCTGATATAACTCTGAGTTAAAATTTGATATACCGTATTTTTCGGACTATAAGCCGCACCTGCCATTTAAAAAAAAAACCTGCGAACATTAACATATAAACCGCACCGGATTATAAGGGGGCGGCTGTGGCGGTGTGGTTAGGGGAGTCGTCCTGGAACCAGAAGGTCACTGGTTCGATCTCCCGTCCAGCCGTCTCAGTCGTTGTGTCCTTGGGCAAGACACTTCACCCACCTTGCCTACTGATGGTGGTCAGAGGGTCCGGTGGCGCCAATGCATGGCAGCCCCACCTCTGTCAGTGTGCCCCAGGGCAGCTGTGGCTACAGTGTAGTTTGCCATCATCAGTGTGTGAATGTGAGTGTGAATGGGTGAATGTCTGTTAGTGTAAAGTGCTTTGGGGTCCGGAGGGACTTGAAAAAGCGCTGTATAAGTTCAGTACCATTTACCATTTACCATAAGCCGCACCCCCAACATAAAAAAATAATACACCCAAAATTGTCGTCAAAAAAGTGAATTCAACATCAAAACATAAAAAGCAAACCTTTAGGAATTAAAGTTCGGAGGAATACGGTTCATTTAACTGACCTTATTTTGGTAGTTTTCTTTAACAGTTTCTGGTCCAACAAAACGTCTCATTCATCGTCCTCCGGCGCACTGAAACCATTGAAGTCCTCCTCTTCAGTGTCGGAGTTAAACAAGCTGAGAAAAGCTGCGTCACACAGCGGTATCTGTTGTCCTCCCGGGGTAATGCTGGCTCTGAAGCTGTGGTGTCCTCTTCACGTAGCAGTCCAGCCTTTCAGAACCCATTGGTGATGGTGGACTCATTGATTCTGCTCCACACTGTTAGTATCCACTGGCAGACATCAGGAAATGACGCTCTTCACATTCAGCCAGTTTTTGTGAATGATTTATCCCCGTCAGTCATCCAAGCCTCCCATTCAGCCCTGAGTGCTGCTTTAAATGCTCGATTCACACTGATGTCCAGGGGTTGCAAAAACTTTGTTGTACCTCCAGGAATAACAGCAGGAATTGAGTTTGTTTTCTTGATGGCTGCTTTCACCGAATCCATGATGTGGGCCCACATACTGTCCAATATCGTGTCTGTCGAAGATCCGTCGTGTCGTGTCTGCTACTAGCTAAAACAAAATGGCGCTACACCTCTGGCTAAGCTGGCAGAATGGTCGCTCGGCTGTCGACCGGTCGACGCGCCGTCACGTGATTGTTCGGCGTTTGTTTTCGCACTGACCTTTCATAGTTCCCCCGAGAAACCCAGAGCCTAGCTGCTGGGAAAGCCCTCCCGCTCCAGCATACGTCACTGCATGGGATTCCTTCCCCGGAGAGTGCAATGCGGGAAAAAAAAGGTCCGCGGCTCTTCACTCGACTTTTATCCACGAACTGGTCCTGGATTAAGCTCCAAAGTTTTTATCAGTCAGATTCCACCGTGAAAAATGTCTGTTTTATCCCTTTTTGTGAGTTTTTGGCAATTGACTATCTTTAAATCACTGCTTCCTGGTACAACAGTCGGCTCTGGAAGGATCGCTTTTTTCTTCTTTTTTTTGAAGCGAGTGGTTGAAGCAAATGGAGCATAAGAGCCCCCTGGTGACTGAAGAAAAAAATCCATGTATAAGTCGCACCGGACTATAAGCCGCATGGTTCAAAGTTCAGGAATAAAGTTGCGGCTTATAGTCTGAAAAATACGGTAATAAGATTTGAGCTAACTCATCTCCAACACAAACTCTCTGACCAAAACAGCTACATCTTCATCATGCTTCAAATGCTAGACATTTAATGTTAGAAGTGTGTTTGTATGTAGAGACATTTGTTTTTGTTTGCAGTGAAGCAGCGTGTTGAGCAGCGTCTGGAGCAGATCAGCCGTCCTCAGGGAGTCCGTCTCCACACGGCTCACGTCTTGTGTATGGATGCCATTCTTAACGTGGGGTTAGAGATGGGCAGCCACAACCACGACTGCTGGCCACATGTTTTCAGGTACACACGTACAGCAGAGCATGTAGTCTGGCCCTGTCGCAAAAACGTAAAAACACATTCAGACGTGGCTCATTTTGCAAATCTGTATCAGGGTGACGGAGTACATCAGCTCCTTGGAGCACAGCCACTTCAGCGATGGCTCCACTCAGCCTTCCTCACTGACCACAATCACCCAGCAGAGCCAGCAGGCTGCCGCCATCGACCAGGGCCTGGAGCTGAGCTGCGAGCCCAGCCCAGATACTGCAGAGTTCAGCCTGAGCCAGCCAGTCATCCAGCCTCTGTCCATCAAAGAGCTGCTGAGGGAGAGCAGCAGGGGCGGCCGAGGTTTGGACCTGAAGAGCGGCAGTCTGATGACCGGGACCAGTGCTGCCAAGGCTGTGTGCACTCTGTCCACACAGGCTGACAGGTGGGACTGAGTCCACACTGAGGGAGAAACATCCAGAAAACATCTCCTGAATGATTAAAACCATTTCAACTCTACTCAAACCAAGAATATCTAATTCCTGCATCAGTCATCATGCTGGAGCACTAATGGGGAACATTTCTAGAATGAAATATCCTGCAAAATGTTATTTTTTAATTTTTTTTATTCCAACTCAAGGTGACCACTTCAAAGGTTTGGTTAAAATGACTTGTCAATTCTTAATATATTGTAAGTTTAAAACTCCAGTGTTTCTCTGGTTAAGTGGTTTGCTGGACTACAAGCAGATTGATACATTCAGAAGCTTCAACGTAATCAGCTTTAATGCTGAGCATACATCTATTTGTGTAGTATTGTGTTCTCCCATAAGGAAATAACAAACTAAACAAATGGTATCAAGTAAAAATTATAGAGGTTTAATATTGGCTTGTGTACCAATTTTAACACCATTAGGATATTTCTGAGAAAAACGTGGGTTTTTTTTTTCAGCCTAAAACAAATATAAAACAAGTCCTTGTTTGGTTAGCATTTAGCCTAGCCTGGACAAACATTTCAAACCCTTTCTTAAAACCCAGAGCTCAGTTGTTGGTGTCACAATCATTAAGGTGTTGTTTAAGGACAGAAGTGCGTAATAAGAATAAAGGCACTTTGTCGACTGGTCATACTAGCTATTAATTACTATTAGACAGAACATCACTTTAAAATAATCACGCTATAGCTTTAGGAACAAAAACAGGCACATATACAACCAGGGAGGGACAACGTAGACTGAAAGAAAAGAAAACACAAAAAGTCTTCTATTTCTACTTCTTTTCTCTTATTATTGCAAAGTGCATCAAACCACCTTGGATTGGAGCTCTCTTCAAGAATTTTCAACTCTGAAATGTTTCATGCTTTCAGGGGCTAACTTGAAATAATAACGTTAATAATAAAAATGCATTTATAAACGATTTCACTTTGAAATGAAAATAAGAAAAGTGACAAAATCTTTTAGTTCCACATATCTCTAACAGCTGCCACTCATAAAAAGCTGCTGATGTTTGTTTTTATAATCACAAGATGGCAGCCGAGCTATCTGTGTGTAATAATGTGCCTCTGACTTGAACGTCTACTTATTTTAAATTCCTCCCAAATTTTTTAAGCGATTGGGTCAGATTGTTCTAAGAGCTGTCTGATGTTTCACGCGGTGTTCTTCAGTCACATGGACAAATACAAACAGTATGTTTGTGTTAGTGAGCATTTGTTCAGACTTTTCTAATACACACACACACACACACACACACACACAACTAAATACAGGCTTTATACGTCTGTGTGCTCATTCTGAGGATGATCTCTTATGCAACCACTTATTCAGGCTGCTTTAGGAGGGAATAAAAACATTCTCTCTGATCTTTTGGAACAGATGGACTGAACACATTTACAAGCTGAATTTGGTGCCAGAACATAGTAAACATCGAGCGGGGCTAGCTCTGAGTGCAGCTTAAAGGGCAACATCACTGAATTTCAGCTGTGGGTCTTTATTCTGTCTACACACAACGTTCAGTGAAACACATCAGGGATTGTTTACCATTTCATTGTTTCAAATCAAACTCACAACACTTTCATTTACACACATTTAGGTGAGAATAGCATTGTGACACACATTTAAAGATTTTTGTAAAATCAGTCTAAAGTTCCGTGGACTGCACTGCATTGTCTGTAAACACAATTTACCATTCTATACACAAATACTGTTTAAAGTCCTATCAAATAAATAAAAAAAATACATGTGAACATAATCAAGAAATGCTGCCATTTTCTCTGCTTAAGCTCATTTATAATGATCAGAAAATAAAGTGGAAAACTGTTGTGTTAGACAAATCAAAAGTCTTTTTGGAAACCAAACACTGCATCATCTGAAGTACAGAGAAGCATCCAGCTTCTGACAGCACACACTTCAAAAGCCTGCCTCCCTGATGGTATGGGGGTGCATTAGCGCCTATAGCAGAAGCAGGACTACATGCTTAAAATGTTATAAATTAGGGTTATATAGTATCAGTATTTGTATCACACATTTTAATATGATGGTAATGATTTTGTGTTTCAGGTTGTTTGAAGAAGCAGCTACAAAGCTGAACCTGGTCGGACTGGTTCGTTTCTTGCGGCAGCTCAGGAAAGCTTCTCAGTATCAGCTGTTTGACTCTGTTACAGAAACTGGAGACTATTCACTGGCAATGCCAGGTACACACACACGCACGCACGCATGCACGCACGCACGCACACACACACACATATGCACACACTTCTACTGTGTGTTTATATCACCTCTAATTTAAAGTACATTAACTTTCATTAAGTTTCTGTTTGTTAATCATAATCATAATATTGCAATTCCCCTTGACACTTTGGCTTGTACATGTCTGATATGAGATTTCCAGCTTATTTTTTCATCAATTATTACTCCCAAGAAAATTAATTTCAGTCACCCTTTCAATTTGAAGCCCCTCTAAATGAACTTGTAATTCTAGTTTAGCCCTGCCGAACCCAAAAATAATGAATTTCATTTTGCTTAAGTTCAATGATAATTTATTCATGTCAAACCAATTTTTAATTTTCTTTAGCTCTGTATCTATCCTATGTTCTAACAATTTCAACTTATTACCTGAGAAAATAGTTTTTTATCATCAGCAAATAAGACGTATTTCAAAGACTGATACCTTACATAAATCATTAATGTACAAAATAAATAACTTAGGACCCAATACAGACCCCTGGGGGACACCACAAGTAATGTCCAAACATGAAGAGCAGTGAACACCCATCTTCACAAACTGCTTCCTGTCACTAAAATAACTCTTCACCCATCTCAACACAATGCCCCTGATACCATGACGTTGTAGTTTTTTTATTAAAATGTTGTGATTTATGGTATCAAACGCTTTCTTCAGGTCTAGGAATATTCCAACTGTGTACTGTTTTTGATCTAATGTAGCTTTGCAAGTTTAAAATAAACTAAATAATAACTGGTTGAAGGGACATTCAAGTGCATAAAAGTAGTTGAAAAGTTCAAGTAAGGCTTTGACAAAAAAGAAGAACAAATAAAAAAATAAATAAAAACAGAAGACAAATAATTCAGTGATTTTCTATGATGGCATTTAACACAATAGCTAACGTTAGCATAACTGATGGTGCCTACTTCCATAAAAAGACTTTCTGATAGGAAAACTAACAACAAATTATACAAAGTTGGCTGTAGCACAAAGTGGTCACTGAATATGAGATATATGAGGCATCAACCTGCCACACAAACTGACTTTCTGACACTTGTCCATCCATCTGCAGAGGACATAATTACAACTCCACTGTGTTAGCATTTCAGATGTTAGCGTTTCACTGCTGCTTTGCTGCCCTGTAGTTAACTGTTAAAAGCTTAGGTCTGTTTTAATGTCTTTTCATCGTGATCCTCTTTCTGTACCGCCATCATACTGTCTATTATTACCCACCTGTGCCGCCTTTTTCTACTGTAGTTTTTAGATCTATAGATTCTTCTACACGAGTAAACAATTCAACCACAGACAGTAGAGGCATTGCAGTTTCACCACTACTCATAATAAATTATTATTAATAAAGACTTGTGTGAATGTGGAACAGAACTTTCTTTGTGGTCCTGCAGGAGAAGCCAAGTCCACATTAGAGCGGCGCAGCGCAATGCATCTTTTCCGACTCGGTGAGGCCATGCTGCGAATCGTCAGGAACAAGAACCGACCCCTGCTGCACATGATGAGGGCCTGGAGCGTGGTGGCGCCTCATCTGGTGGAGGTAGAGAATGTTTAATTACTCAGTACATCTAATATCTAATTAATCTGTGATAGTTTGCTTATAAAAGGACCTTTAAGCGTTTACATTAATTTTGTATAGCGGTTCATGAGTTTTTTTCTAACAGATAGACACGTGAGCACAAACAGAACCAAGTGGTGGCAGATGACGTTATGTACAAAGTTTTTTTTATGTTTTTACTATACGCTTAGATTAAGTTTAACATACTTTACCTCTGGTATATTAGTAAGAACCACCAATACTTGTCTTCCCCAGGCTGCATGTCACAAAGAGCGCCACGTTTCTCAGAAAGCTGTTTCCTTCATCCACGATGTCCTGACGGAGGTGCTGATGAGCTGGGTGGAGCTTCCACACTTCCACTTCAATGAGGTGCTTTTCAGACCTTTCGAGCACATCATGCAGCTGGAGCTCTGTGATGAGGATGTACAGGACCAGGTACCAGCAAATTCAGCACAACTCAAGGAATTTCTCTTGAGTTTTATCCACTAACAGGTTTGCCTCCCTACAGGTGGTGACATCGATTGGAGAGCTGGTGGAGATGTGTTCCCCTCAGATTCTGTCAGGATGGAGACCTCTGTTCAGCGCTCTGAGGACCGTACACGGCAGCAAAACGGACACTAAAGACTACCTGCTGGGAGAATACTCCATGGGTAAATTTGGGAGGCCTTGTTCAACTGAAAAAAAATTGTGTATTTTTATATTTTTGAAAACATTTCAATCCGAATATTTAGTAAAAGATGCTTTTGTATGTATGTATGTATGTATGTATGTATGTATGTATGTATGTATGTATGTATGTATGTATGTATGTATGTATG